GGTGAGTGGATGCACACAAATACACACAGGCCCACCTTTTGATGCACCCGCATTAAACAGTATTATATGTGCGTTGGTAGTGACAAAGCGTGAAACGAGGGGTAACCAGGGTTGTGCTGGTATTTACCACTGAAGCTGCAGAAACGACGGCGGTGTAGTGTTGTGTAAATAAACTAGAAAACGAACGGTTTGGTAACGAGAAGGAACACTCACACGCGTTCCATACGTCTTAGAAGCTTACAAGTGGGATTACACCTTGTGCGTGTGTACTCTGTAATGATTGTTACACATTGAGCTTTTTAGAGCTTGACACAAACGGGGGATAATGGCGTAATGGGAAATAGTATTGTGAAAACGAGACGTGACCGAGAACGAAAATAGGGGCTTGATCCGAATAATGTTGGAACAGGACCAACACCGGCGGGCGGAGAGAGAAAAGTGGCAAAAAGGCCACGGATGTTGGGAAACACGTGTACTCGAGGTTAAAGGTACTTGCCATATTCTATGTTATTCTTATAGGTGTTTGATGACGGAAGGGCGGACACGATGATCATAATAGCAGGTCTGGTTAGAATTGAAGAATGAGCGTCTAACACCTGTATGCATTAAAAATATATATAATTGCAAGACAATCGAAAAAAATAATTTTCATAGAACAAAACGTAGTAAATGGTAGGAATAGCCAAGATAAAAAAAAAATACCTAGTGCACGTTTTTATCGAAAAAAAGGCTTGCAAAGTACATACAAATAGTTTGATGGACAACATATAAATTTACGACGAAGACAGTCGAACTCACGCGTGTAATAAGACAAAAACTCAAACTAAATATTTCAGTACAGTCAATATTATTTTATTACTACCAGACCTAATACACCCCAATTAATATAATTAAAGAAAAACACGAAAAGTACTAATTCAATAATTATTTATTATTGTTTTAATACTAACATTTTTTTTAGGGGGTGGGGGCCCTTAGGAAATTTAGAATCTGAGACATTTTTGATGCCAGACGTTTCCTGTGTAAAATGTATTTATAAGTTAAAAGAAACGGCTTTATGTACAAAAAAAAATGCTTCAAAACTAAAACAACATCTGAAAGCTTATCTAATGCGTACACTATATTATAGTAAACATCCTATCAAATTTTACTGCGTTTATTTACTTATAAATAAACACAGTAATAGTGTTATTATATAATATATAACAACATACATTTTAGTTATAGAAAGTATAAAATTGTATGCCACTCAGCTGTTTAAACAATAGCAAGCAGCATTAATTATTATAGATATATATGATTCAATGAATAAAAACAAATAGATAAAAATAATATAATAATAGTTTAACAAAATCTATTGATTTGTATAGTGTTTACCATTCAATTTTGCTAACAGCGATTAGCTCTAACGACTAACGTGTTTTTATGAGCTTAATATAGTTTAATATTTTCTGTACAAATTATTGAACGAATGGGACAACATTTCTGAACTACAGTGTCAGTATATTATTAAACATTAACTCGACAATTACTTCTCTAACCATATTTTTAACACACAATATAGTATTATGATACTATTGCAAGGTAATTCAATTATAAGCGCAAGTATATACTTGTTATGCTGAACATAAAGCGGTCCTAACTCCTAGATAGTATTTTGTAGAACTACTTGCGCCTGATCGTTTTGATCGTAAACAAAAAAAAGTCTCTTTGTATTCCACGTCACAGTCAAAATGAAATACCTCGAGCTAAGTATTATGCCCGTTAAGTTGTGCACTCCTGCAGTTGGTATTGTAGAACGCCACCATTGACAGTACATTTCCAGGATAGTAATTTTCTCAACTGTCGAGACGCGTACCAATAATATGTACAAATGCACTCAAGATAGGAAAAAAAAATTCCTTAGGGCCTAAACCAACTGCACGTTATTTTCTACTGTGACACTTTTAAAAAGACTTAAAACGTAGGTACATTAAATACGTGATCTGACTAATACTTAGGGGAACAAAAAAAAATATATAAAGTATATTATTATGGAGTATTCACTATTCCACATAAAATAGTACACAATTTAACATTATAAATCAGACATTTCTGATATATTATGTTTTATAGGGCTATAATAATCTTTACTGAATTTTTTTCAATGTTTTATCCCAAAACGTTCTAGACCGTAAAATTTGGGGTAAAATAGATACTATATCAGCATCAATATTTTAAAACTGCATGTTATAACTGAAAAAAATAATAAAAATAAAAATGAGTGGTAAACAATATACCTTAAAATTGTATAAAAAAAATTGTATTAAAAATATTTCAGATATATTTTATTTTAGGCTTTTTTTCACATTTTATTTAAAATGTATTTTTTATCTTCTTAACTATTTGAAAAAGAACGTTTTAAGGATAATTTTTCTTATGAGTACTAATTGTGAACAATTTTAACCCGAATCAAAAAGCTTCATTCAAATGATGAAAAAATGTACAATATAGCGTTGAATACCCTATCATTGTCATTACATAAAACAATGACTAAAAACAATCATTTTTAACAAAACGGTTGTAGGACTTGAGTAAACATCATTATAACATATACTTTTTTTAATAATAAGTCATCAACTAAGGGCTTTTTAGAATCTGACGATTTAATCAATCAGCTTCAATCTTAAAACTAATTGCTTTGCAAAATACCGATAACATGTTTACAATAATAAAACAAATAACATTACATTTTATTAGAGTCTACATTTAACCCACATTTAATATTTAAGTGTTCTTAAATGAAATATAATACAATATTAATTTGGGTACATTTTTTCTCCCTCTCTCTATATTCTCTTTATAGTGTTTTTATTTTTATAGTGAAATACTGATGTTTTTTTATAACTAAATTAATGCATTTATTTAACTGGCTAACCAAAAACTATATTGATTATTAACATGCTATAAGTGACCTAAGATGTTATTACTTACAACATTAAGCAACAGTTCATAAGAAATAATTTTAAGAGTTTAAAACGTTGTTTACATATTATGTTACCTAATTAAAAGTTGATAGATCAGTTATACTAAAGAATATCAATACAATTTATTTGAATCATTATTTTTTTCCATCTAATAGACGATCGATCTACATTAAACTATTATCGAGTTGGTATAATATCATTGTATGGAACATTTCCATTCGGCATCTAGTTTTAAAATTTATACTATGTATGTATTATGATTTGAATAATACGCGTTTCTTTGTAACGTTACATTATAAGCTATAACTATCTTTTCATTATGGTTTCTTCCATCGATACTTTCCAAAAACATAGATTCATCATAAAAGCCTGATTTTGAAGATACATGATTTATTCAATCTCGTTCTGTATAAGATATAAATGTAAATATATTTGAAATTAATGATAATCCATCTTAGTATACCATGACACATGCCAACTATTGGTTTTCAAAAGTTGAATGCGTCAAATAATAAAATATATTATATTTGTATAAGAAAAAAAAATTGAATTTGGACAATACGTTGAAATTAATTAGTAAAATAAAAGAAGTTAGTGAGATTACCATAGACGAATTAAGAGATAAATGTAGACCTATGACCGAAGATTTCGTGTTTAAACAAAGCAAGGACGATTGATAGAGATTCGAGAAGAAGAGAGCAAAAATAATTATCAATATTATTTTCATTGTTATTAGCTAAACTAAAGTTCTAGAAGTTGATACATTTTAGTGATATTATGCGCAGTACCAAACAATTAAAGAGGTTTAATGCAAACACTCCAAGGCTACTATATTTATTGTTAACCACAAGACATTTGTAATGATCCCAGCTGAATCCAGCATTATCCAGAAATATGTTAAGCGTGTACAGTAGGTTAATACCCCACTAATGTTTCAAAAGCCATCTCTCAACCATTTTAATAGGTTCCAAACATGTTCTAAATCTTCAATTTTTGTTCAAGTCTTCAGTTTTAAATAGTTATTGTTACCACTTCGAATATAATAAACACATTTTGTGTAACAGTTAGTAGAGCGCTTGGTAGAAAATGACCAACATAATTTTATCGTTTTAAAAACTTCTGTATCTATTACTTTTACTTATTAGAAGATTATGAATAAAGGAAAAAATAGGACATTTTTTAAAAGCAATTACTTAAAAAAACATAGAGCTTAAAATTTAAAAGTTATTTTAAAATGAGCTTGTTGATTTTACATATTAAGCAAATTTTTTTTTACCTAACATCAAAAGTCATATTAAAGAAATATACATTATTTATTATTATTATATACAATTATCATAACACAATTTTTTAAACGTTTTTATACATAATTTTCGTTGGTCAGTTCTACCTAGATTACATTTAAATGTAAAATATATATATATATATATATATAAATTATAAAACCATATAGCTGAGTTAGCGGCTATATGGATCATAAAGTACACAATTGAATATACATAACAATAATTTTTTTTTTTAAGTTGTTTCAATGTGTCCGGTTTTTTCTCCTCCGGTATTTTTATTACTAAGTCGTTATTTTTGTTATTAAGTTTTAAGCGTAACGAAAGCAAGAAGGTAAAAAAAAATTACTTCTCGAAAACAATCTTATCGTTCCAGTTTCAAGAAACGGGCGTCCCGTGCCAATACTTCCTTTAAAAACTTTTCACGTGTCCTTTTGTGTTAGCGATTTCCTTGGCGTCGTTCCAGAGCACACACCGGCTTTAGAACCCCCCCCCCCCCCCACTTTTTTTTTAAGCTTTCCCGCTTTTTTAAAACTATTTTAACGCCATTATACTGCGTATTATTAAGAGTGCACGGTAAGATCCAGGTAGTGAATATATATATATATTTCATTCTAACGCTAGCTGGTTGGTAATAGACTTTATACAGCACAGATACGATAAAAAGCGGCGTGGTACGACCGTTTAAAATTTAATTTTTACACAATATTGTTTTGTTTTTATAAAAAAAAACAAACGGTTGTTTTCTTACCTGAAAAATATGTCCGGGAACTGCGGTAGATGAACGAAATATTCGTTTACCGAACACGCGAAAATGGAACTACGATAATGGTCCGCGCCGTGCGTTCCTTAACGAATATGATCTAATGGCAACGATTAAAAAAGCGAAAATAAAAATATCGTTAAATGTTTGCAATTTTTTTTTTCGGCTGAACGGTATAAGACCCAGTGGAACCGTCGGACGCAGCGCGTGACACACGAACTGTTCGCCAGATCGCTAACGGCCGATGGCCAAAGGACCAACGTGGTCTGAGGGTGTCAAAGGCGCGTGCGCTACCCCGGTGGTTGGCAGGACTCGACAGTAAACGGATACCGCCATCTGCTAGTCTCGCTAGTATGATTACTCCTTAAACAGAGCATCCTTCCGGCCAAACACGTTCGCTAGATGGGGCGACTGTTTTCGTAGTTTGTCAGAACAAAATCTATTTCCTACGGGCAAATAAAGATGGAGCCATTGCAATGATACGACGAAAAAGAATGCGCCTGAACCTCAAAACAAGATGCTATATCTATATAAAAAAAAAAAACCAAAAACAATAGAGGTGCAACCTTAGGAACTATAGAGACCGAGAAAACAGTATTATTGCCGTTAACTTTGACTTGGTAAGTTTTAACGTTTAAGGTTACGAAATCCCACGCAATTGAAGCTGTTATGAAATCGTAAATGCTGGTCAGCCTAGTAGAAAACGCCCGAGACTTTAGACCTTTTATATCAGTTATCTTTTTTTTTTAAGTATTAAAAAATAAGAAAATATGTCTTAATAATTACATTTATACGTGCATTTTTTCCGTTGACTCCCATCCCAATTCGTTCGATCATCTTGGTCTTCTTGTGTGTTAAAAGACCATCGTTTTGGAAGAGGGCAAAAATAATCTCAGGCCGACGACTGAAGTCTGACGACTGTTGGGTCGGCGCTGTTGTAGCTGCTTGGTAAACTATTTTTTCGTTTTATTATTTGTTAGTTTTTTGTTAAACTGTTAAACTATTTACTATTTTTTCATATTTTTTAGATTGTATTTTAATTTTTTTGCAATATTTTGTTTTTCAAGATTTTTGTTAATTGTTATTACTCATTGTTAATTACCAATTTTTTTATATGTATTTTTAATTAAGTACAAATTATTTCAGTTTTCAGCAGTTTGTTTAGACAATTTATTATGTATTTTGTTTACACTCGTGAGTTCTTTTTATATAATATAATGCTTGATATTTAATTTATTATAAAAGATATTCTTTGAAACTGTTTAAATAAATGTATTTAGTATCTATTATTTGAATATTAATATATATTTATAAGTTTTTATATTTCCATATATGTTTTATGGTCAATTTGGAATAAAACTCATTTAAAATGTAATACAGAAAGTAAAGTTTGCGTGGGTGCCGTTTTGTTTAGTTCTGGTAGTTCAGCAAACAAATTATTGTATTTTTACACTTGGCTAACTTATTGCTGTACTGGCTTATACTGTGTTGGCTTTTGCCTTATGGTGTTCTTACTAAAGTAAGTAAAATCTAAAGACTGTGCTGGTTTTTATTGTTATTGGTTTTACTGGTATGGTTTTCTACTTTTTTCTTTTGCTAGTTAAAAACAAAATGTCTTTTTGAATGTGATTTCATCACTTCAGTTGTAATAATTCCTATAAACCTATGACCTCCCCATGCACACTATGCAACGACTTTTTTTTTTATTTAAATGCGATATTTTATAGTCTTTCTTTAAATAATAAAACCCAGATTGCTATCTTAAATAGAATGATATCGTCGGTTAAGTATATTTATTTTTATTTTTGCATTATTACTTCAATTGCTTGCTTAATGTTTAGCACATCCACGTAAGCACAGAGAAATCTTATACATTATATCAAATTGTATTCTTTTGATTTTCTCATGATTAAATTCACTGTGTCTGGTTGTTAGTGCAAAGTCCCTAACCGAATTTTTAATTTTAACTAAACGTCTTCTAATTAAAGCTGTTTTTATAAATATTTACTATACTAATAATTATTCATGATTATTAATTAAATTTAGTATAATTTTAAAATATCACACAGATTCGTGGAATGAACTTTTAATGTAAACGACCGGTTTCTTTCGGCAGACGGACTAACAAGTCGAATTTTGTTAACTCACTTTTGTTTTGTATACTGAACAGTGAACACGATAATAACGGTGCCAGTCAATGGAAATTATATGCTTAATGCTACACTAAATATACAATAATATATATGACTAATAAATCATTTTCATCTAGGTCGTAATACTCAGACATTTTAAATTAAATTTTACTTATAATAGTCTTACTTAGTTACTTTTTATAAAAGTAGATAGCAGCATAGTATTGTGACCTAATAATAATAATAACGAAATATTATATCTAAGGGGTTAAACTATAGTTGTTACTTATTTATCATGGTATTAATTAATACTTTCCTAAAGTTAGTTACTACGTATTAATAAATACCTAATACACATTAGAACGCATACAGGGTGATCCATTTAACGTAAGACACTGTTTTCTTTTAAATAATAATAACTAATAGGTTATTATATTTGATAAAATGTTTGTTTATGTTGTAAAAAAACTACTAAAATATAATAATATATACATATATATGAAATAGCTAAATATTTATTTTGTTAGGTATTTTCCAGATCGTTATCTACTTATGAAACTCAAATGGTAACGTATATTTAACAACTTTATAAATTAAGAATAATATACTGGCACAGTTTTAATCACTTTTCAATCAAAGTAAAACAAAAAAATTGATTTGTTGAAAGTCTATAGACATAAAAATCGTTCGGATTTGTCTCTTAGATGGCATGTGCATAATATTTTTAAAATTACTATTGGTGACACATCGTATTGATGAGCGCTAGAATAAAGAAAATTAATTTAGGCACACAATTTATGTGATTAAGTTTTTAAAAAGACATTGATTACTGTAAACACACGTTGTGTTGAGGGAAATAATTAATAATAAAATATTACAATGTACCTAATAATTGAGTTAATTGCCGAAATCAGCTGAAACTACGAACAGCTGTAATAGCAGTTATTGGAAATCAGCAGAGACAAAATCCACCAAATTTTAAGAGAGTATCTCTGATTTTTTTTTATTTAGCACCGTAGTTATTAGCGGGAACCCTCCAGAGAGGGGTTCACCCAAGTTCCGATTTGCCCTCAAATATGGTCTTGGTGTGAAATAAGCGACTACGCTTTCATTCTTACCTTGTCGCTGAACACTTTCCGGAGATCTGACTTTATTATTGATGGACAAAAAAAAACACCCATTCCTCGAACAAAGGATTAAGGTTCCGGTAACTATTTCCGAGGTTAACTGTGTAGGCCATTAGAGAAATGAACTGACGAAAAAAGCTTTTAAAAGCTTGGACCGACGTACGATCAGACAGGCAGGCAGCGGAATTCATCCTTCTCACATTTTGGCTTGAGCGTTCTTGACGTCCAGATGTTGCGATTTCCAGAAGATTTCCACGTCATTATTAAGGGTAACCTACAGGGTAACCGTTTATAAGAAAACGACTTGTTTCCGTCCACGTTTAAGAGTACTCTGTCAGAAAAACAAATTAAAAAGTTATTATTTCGTTTTATATTATATTTTTTATTATTTTCTATTATTCCAACTTAAAGTAATCTTTATTGCACAATGCGTCAGGCAAAAGGTTCTATTTTGTTTTATCATTTTACCACAAGCCACTGTAGGCTTGTTAGCCGTTAGGGAGCCTCTAAGAGAATATACAATTTGATATAAAAGTGAAGTAAATTTAATGAAAAAGAAAAAATAAAGCAGCATTACTATAATTATTGTACTAGACACGAAACGTAGATAATTACTATATTTTCTAAAAGGAGGTTTACTTAGAGAAACCGACGGTCCAGAGAATACCTTTAGACGTGACCTATGTTGATTATATATAAAGTCTAATGGAACCAACCGCATTCTTAATTACTGAAATCAAATTACTGCCTTTACACAATGCCCAACGGACAACGCAAGTATTTTCTTATGCTTCTGGCGTTTGAACATTAACAGCTACAAAACTAAATGTTAAGAAACACTATTTTTAATTTTATAAATGCTATTTACAGAATAAATTATACATTTTTTTTAATCTAAAATTTAAAAATAATGTACAAGTACATTTATTTAATATTTTAACTGGTAAAAATCGTAATCTTATAAAAACGTATGATAAATACAATACTTGATATTAAGGCTAGTAGGTAATGATTGATTTTAAACAATCTAACTACTAGAGCATACATGTTCACCTTAGGTTTTAAATATGTTTATTTTGCTACTAAATAGATCTATCTAATAAATAAAACAAAAAGTTTATTCTTAACGTTTAGTGCTGATATACATTATAATTCGGGATAATAATGTTTTAAACGTTTGTAATTTGGATAAATCATTTTTTTTTCTAACGTCACTTAAATATATTTAAAATCATAAACATTTTTTATAGAAACTAAGGCGTGCTTATATAATATATATGGCTATAGTAAGACAAATTATATCAAATTATGCCTGTAAAGTGTGTCAGTTAATAGAAGTGAGTGGTGTTCAAGTTTTAGTTTGTTTGCGGTATTGTAATGTAAAAACAAAAATCAATGTTTAAATACAATAATATCAGTAAAAAATGTAATACAAAGTATAAACTATGTTGCAAAAAAAAAACAAAAATGTATTAAAATAAAAATAACCATCATACCTAACTATTAATTTGAAAACTATTATACTATACAAATTATAAATAATCATATAAATAAATTATCCTTACCTAGCTAATGTATTTTATCTGTGTGAACTATTGAACTTTGTAAAAGAGAAAAAAAATTAAAGCAAACGAAAAGGAAAAGTTGTAAATTTATAGTTTGCTTTGAGAAACGTTGTTGTTTTTTTGATGGAATACGACTAGCAATAACTATTTAGCAGAGTTGGGCGGTTTTCTGCGATTTTTTTAATTTAATTAAAATTATTTAATTGGAATTATGCAATTTAAGCGGATTTAATTGAAAAAATAATGTTAATTATTCGAATAACCTTTTATTGAAGTAAATACCAAAAATAAAAATGTGTTCGAATAATGTTATTATAAAATTGATAAATAAAACGTTGTTTTTTATTTAAATTACCACGTATAATTATATTTCTTTAGGGTTTTAACCGA